CTACATTCCAAGTTTCATGATAATTTGACAAATGGTTCCCAATATACAGATGCAAACTCTAACCACTACCAGGGGCGGATCCAGAAAATCTCCAAGGGAGGGGCCATTAGAAACCAGGAGGCCCCTCCCCATAATCCCACCTGTTGGAGGCCCCATCTTCCCACTTGTTGGGCCCCCCCCCCCCAAAAAAAAACTGCGTCTATTGAGCTTATCTAGCTGTTCAGGCAACATCTCAACATCTGTGCAGGCTTGGAGGCCCTCTGTGCAGGTTAGGAGGCCCTGTAAAAGTGGTCATCTCTGCGAGTATAAGAGACCTCCAAGTTATGAAAAGCTTTACCAATCTTCTAACAAAGAAGTCTTCTCAGCTAGTCTTCTAAGAAATAACTAAGTGGGTAGGTTAAAAAAAAAAAACTCATCGGATTTCGGCCACTTTATTTTCAGGAGGCCCCCTTTTCAGCTTTTTAACTTTTTAACTTTTTATTTTATTTTTGAAAAAAATCGGCCAAGGGGGGGGGCCATGGCCCCCATGGCCCCCCCCCCTTGTATCCGCGCCTGACCACTACGGATACCCCACATTACTTCAGCGGTGACCTGTACAAGAAGGAGGCTCTCTGTGCAAGTAGTCGAAGTAGGAGGCTCTCTGTACTGTATGTATCTACAAATATGGAGGCCCCCTGGGCAACTTAGAGGCTAGGTACACAAATCGGAGGTCACCTATAAAAAAGCGGGACTCTGTTGGAATACCTGTTTGAATAAATTGTTTTCCTGATATTCAAATTATTTAATCCTCGCCCGCACATGGGGGCAGTGGTTGCCACCCCCCCCCCCCCAGGGTTTTTTTCTGTTCTGCACTCAACATTTTGATTGCTAGAAGCCGGATGTTTCGTATAGCTATAGCTGCTTCTCTATCCTTTCTTAGCGTCCATTGAAAATTCCAAGTTTCTGTGGTTTTGGTTTCGGAGATATGACCTTATTCTTCAGGTGATGTCATAACCCAAGTGACAAATACCCAATATCTTGCGTTGGCTATGGGTCTTATGAGCTTTTGACACCTTGATTTCGGCCTTTTTTGCAAGTCTTACCTCCCACCTATCATGGAACATGTTGTTCGATGATGTACAGACGCTAGGGACAGGGTCAAGGTCAGCCTAGGTCATCTAAAAATTTTGCGTTTTAGGCGAGCTGAATTTACTTTCGTGAAGTTTATTTGACTGTATATTTGGTAAAAGCTTCTCAGTTCATGATCTCATGCTATAGGGACACATTCATAATCGGTGCACACATCAGTACACACACAGTCACACACACACACACACACACACACACAGACATACAAACACATATCATTGACCTTGACCTTACTTGACCTGAAATGACCACAGCCAGCAAAAACCTAGTCGGATAGTGTGACAAAGAGGTTCTAGCTGGCTTGGCACCACAATACGGCAGCGTCATCGGTTTATGATGAGCAGCGCACGTGATATTCCAACGGGCAACGGTGACCCCAAACAGCAACGTTCTTTAGTTTGACCTGACCTGGAAGGTCAATGACTGCCTGATGAGGTAAAATTTGGTATCATTGGATTTGTCTCTTCCCAAAGAATATGTTGCTCTTGACTGCGAAGCTTAAAATTTTGTTTGAATAAATTGTGGTTATGTCGAATAAAATACCTACACAAGCAGCGGGCCAACCCATCATATACCGATGACGCTGCCGTATTGGTGCCAAGCCAGCTAGAACAGCTCTTTGTCACACTATCCGACTAATTTGCTGGCTGTGGTCATTTCACGTCAAGTTAGGTCAAGGTCAATGATATGTGTTTGTCTGTGTATGTCTGTGTATGTACTGATGTACCCTGACCCTGACATCTGTACATCGCAGACGGCAGAACATGTTCAATGATAGGTGGGAGGTAAGGTTGGCAAAAAAAAAAAACGACATCAAGGTGCCTCAAAAGCTCACAAGGCCCATAGTCAACGCAAGATATTGGGTATCCGTCATTTAGGTCATGACATGACCTGAAGAACAAGATCATATCTCCAAACCCAAAAGCCACAGAAACTTGAAATTGTCAATGGACGCTTAGAAAAGATAGAAAAGCAGCTATCCAAAAATCAGATTTCTAGCTTAACCCTCGCCCTGGCAGGGGGGGTCGATGCGACCCCCCCCCCCTAAGGTTTTTCGAAGATAGCGTAAAAACGGCGGCGCGCAGCGCCGCCAAATTTGGCACAACCTATGGGGCAACCTTTTTACATATGACCTGAAAATTTCAGATCCGGGTGACCTTGGGTCAGGTCACCAAGTCAGAAAAACCGGTACAAGGTCATGGTCAAATTTCAATTTTCTTTTTGCACCTGTCCAACTCACAGTTTTTCACTGATTTCCTTCAAACTTTCAGGATGTGCTAAGTTCACCGAGTTGTATAACATTTAGTTCGGGTTTTTTGAGGTCACTGACCTGAGGTCAGTTAGAGGTCATTACGTCGTAATGTTAAGCCTATGGGAAAATACTGAATTCGGAAAATACTGGAGATATCCACTTCGTTCTATCATTTTTGTGCTTTGAAACCACAGTACTTAACAGCAGGTCACTTGGTGCTTCTTTGTTTGGTGTACTTATCCATGGGTCAGGTCAAATGAGGTCAACTGAAGTCAAATGACGTTTTTGCCAATAACTTGGCACATAATGACGCTAGAGCTTAAAAAATGGTATCATTGTGTTCCTGGTGATCAGCCGAATCGAATGATATACGATATGACGCAATTTGGTTAACTTGAACTTAATTTATTAATTTAAGTACACTTAAGCAAGGTAAAAAGTATATCATTCGACGCGCCTTGACGTGCTGAGTTCACTGGTGCTTTTCTTTTTGCTCTATCTTAATTAGATCAAAAGTTATAAGCGAAAAACGTTTGACCTGTTTTTAGCGAAATTTTTACATTTATACCCCCCAAAACCCCCCTAAATAATAACCTAGAGCAACCAAATTTGCACAGGGGTGAGAACTCCAGGGGGCCCATCTACCTACCAAATTTGGTGTTTCTAGGTGCCATAGGAGCCAATCGCGAGGGGGGGGTCGCATCGACCCCCCCTGCCAGGCCGTGTTATGAAAAATGCCCTGCCAGGGCGAGGGTTAAAAAATGTTCGGTGTAGAGCAGAAAAACTAACTTGGGGGTGGCAACCCTCCCTCCAGGTGCGGGCTAGGGTTAACCCTCACACTTTCTGGGGTCGGTTAGATTTCTTGCGCAATGCTGTGCCGTTAATTTTTTTTTTTATTAAAGTGAAAGAGCCAGAAATTTTCGTCGATTTCGGTCGACGCGGGGGATATTTACATACAATGTCATCCTGCTGGCCTGGATCCATGAGTAAGGTCAGGTGACCTACCATTTCTTTATTAATATTAAAAAAAAAAATCATGGCACCCGGGCTGTGACGAAAAATAAGTGGCCTAAATCCAATGAGAAAACTGGATTTGGGGGTACCCTAGGTTTGGCTTCTGAGCCTCTGGTCCCCCAGTGAAAATTTCTTAGAGGAGGCCCTGACGTGGTTCGTAAATTACCGCTTCCGCAATTGGAGGCCCCTAATTGCTTGGAGGCCCCCACTAAATGGAGGCCCCCTTGGACGTTTGGGACCCCAATGGTGATGTCAAAGTTTCACCCCATTGACATGTCTCGATTTTCCGACTTTTTGGGTCATTGAGCCGACCTGGAAGGTCAATTAATGACCTAGGACCTTAAAATCGCGTATCATCAGCTTCCTCTCGTCACGGGCAACACGCTCGTTTTTTCCGCGAAGCTTGATCAGGGGCCGAACGACAAAGAGGGGTCCCACGAATTTCTCCCCCCATAAATAAGCGGCTGGCAAAACACCAATACGGGTGACGGTTAACTTCCTTGGCCATGAGGTGACTTAAGACTTTCAAAGGGTCAATGACAATTGTGTAGTAGATCAGAACCCACTGTACCTCCTAGAATTGAAATTTTATGACCTTCCACCATGATCTCAAGAAACAACTGCCTAACAAGTCAACAGTTATTTCTGTCAACGTATGACATGCTTTATGGCAGATAAAAAAAAATGATCGGCTCGAGGGTAAAATTGTGTCGTGATCCGACGTTTTTACATAATAACACCCGAAATACCCAAAGAGTCACGGAAAGGTATGACATTTCAGTGATCTCGGTTGTGTATGCAATGGTGTCTGGTAGGATGGGGGTAATGGCCCTGCCTGGCGCCCGAAAAGGGGGCACGACCCCGGAGGGCCTGCCGACCACTGCTTTAGATAATAAGGCTATCGGTCAGACCCGACCGCCTTCCCTGTCATGACTGTTGTGACAGTATACGTCAGTACTCAGTAGCTTATGGAGATATCTCCGAGCGTGACTACTGCCAGCTGACAGGGTGACAGTCACGACATACGCCCTCAGTCAGCCAGCGGTGATCACACGTGTGCATGCGCGCATGACCTTCGGTTTATGGATTCTGTCCAGCGGAAAAGGTTTCCTGGTCTTTGACTCGACCAGCTGCGCATCGGAACAGCACCATTGACCGATCAACGATCGGATAGCGAATGACTTCCCGTTATTCTCTTGATTTGTCTGCCCCTTCACTTTAGCTGTCGTTCGTCCTCTATCGAACTCGTAGTTCGCATGTGTGCTGTTAGAAAGGTCACATTTTCTCAAACACACTACTTGTGCCATTCTTTACACAAGACCTGCCCCGCTACCTCCGGCGTCTTTGGCTCTGATCTCGCATTTCTTATCTGTTACTCTCGCTTCTTCTGATCACTCATCCCCTTATCTGACCTTTCGTATCTGACCTCTCGTTCCCTCTCTCACCTTCTCATCTGACCTTTATTCTCTGACCTCCCGTCTCCCCCTCTGGTCTCTCGTCCCTTGCCTATCGTCTCTGACCTTTCGCTTCTTGTCTCTAACCCTTTGTCTCCATATCTGTCCTATAGTCCATCTCTGACCTTCCATCTCTCCGTCCCCGTCCACAGGAGTCACTGGACGCGCGGAACGGCACGCTGCTGTTCGGCTCTGCCAAATCGCACTCGGCCATGTCACAAGAGAGTGCCGACAGCGGTATCTACGATCTGGACGAGACTTACAGCCACGTCATCACCGAACACTCGCCGGCAGATGTCATCGCAGAGGTGGAGCGCTCCTTCAAGCCGCCCTACGAGCTAGGTGAGCGGTCTTCCAAGCCACCCTACGAGCTAAGTGAGTACTGAGCAGTCACTCCAGTTCGGACTTCGCATGTGAGCTAGGTGAGCGGTCAATCAAGTCGCCCTACGAGCTTGGTGAGCGGTCCTTCAAGCTGCTTTATGAGCTAGGTGAGTGGTCTTTAACGAGCTAGGTGAGGTGTCCTTCAAATCGCCCTAGGAGCCAGGTGAGCATTCTTTGGAGTCTTCCTACGAGTTAGATGTGCGGTCCTGAGAGACGGCCTACGAACCAGGCGAGCAGTACTTTTAGTCGTACTGTGGATGAAATAGAGCGTCTCGTTTAGCCGCTTTTTGAGCTAGGTGAGCGGTCCTATCAGCCGCCCTACCTACGACTTACGAGCTATATAAGCGTGAGAATTGATTAGACCAGCGCTGCTCAAAGGAGAGGAGAGTAATCCCTCTAGCTGCTATACAGCCAAAAGGGGAAAACTCACGCAAGAACCCTTGCAAGTAAGTCCTCGAAAAAAACTCATGCAACAGTCCTTGTAACTTGTAAGTGAGCCCTCGGTGAGCGATCCTTGCACCCTGACTATTAGCTCCACGGGTCGATTCGTCGGCGCGTGTGCACCGTGCATTGTGCAACGATCAATGTGCACGACCTCCTATTAGGTGCACCGTCGCACAAGCCGTAAAGGTCAAGGCGCGTCTAGTCTAGAGGCCGCACCTGGACTAGAAGGAACGGTGATGGGGAGGGGGTCATATACCCACGGATTAGTGTGTGCATGCCCACTTTGTTAGGCGATGCAGTGCTTGCGTGTTGTTAGATTGAGTCGTATATTCGCGGTCGTGTCGAGGTAAAGGAGCATCAAAGGAACAATGGCCACTGCAAAATTTGTAAGGCTCATGCAACATGATATACGAATGTAGTTTGCACTTTGTCCTGCAGTAAACCGCCATCAATTGACGATTTTCAATGAGTCTGAGTGCCTCTCGGTCAAATTCCTGATCCCCGATTCGCAAATAAAACCGGCACCTGTGTCGGTTTCCATTCCACTTTCGAGTTAAGATGCACTCACCATTACGTAGTTCTTTACAACACATTCATTTTTAGTCACTAGTTTTACCGGCTTGCATGCAAAGCGCTACTTGTTCGGTTCTCATTCTGAAAATGCTGTCTTGTTACTCTTGTTGCAGCTGTTGCAAGTTCAGATGGTTAAGCAGTGCTCATATAAACACCAATATTGCAAGTTTCTCCCAAAAAGCACGCGATCTTCTCTCCCTGTTGTGTTCTCATGAATGTGTGTGCAACCGGCATCTGACTGGGCATTATTTCAGAGTTGGAGGTGGTGGGCAAGGCGGTGCCCCGTCTGCTCTCCGGCTACCAGAAGAACAGGATGGAGGAGAAACAAATCCTGCAGTCACTCAGGGAGGAGGGGCTGATCGCTATGCCCAAAGGCAAAGCCACAAACGGTCTCAGGTCAGTGCCTATAGCTATCCACAGCCGAAACCACCAACGGTCTCAGGTCAATGCCTATAGCTGCCTGTAATCAAAAGCCACCAACGGTCTCAGGTCAGTGCCTAATGCCTATAGCTGCCCAAAGGCAAAGCCACCAACGGTCTTAGGTCAGTGCCTACAGCTGCCTGTAAGCTTCTAATCCAAAACCAACAACGGTCTCAGATCAGTGCCTATAGCTGCATGTAATCTTGGAGACCAAAGATAGTGATAAGCCTACTACCCACAGATACTAAAAAGTAAAAATGCACATTAAATGCACTAAAAATGCAGCTAAATGTGCAGTTTGAATCTGCTCCATTGTGTCGCTCGGTGTGTCGCTGAGCGGGCCCGTGGCCCTTAGTCTTTACGGGGAGGGTCGATACCGGATTCGGGCTCGGTTGTCGCTGGTATCCACGACGCTGGCTGCCCGGGCGCCGATACAGCGCACAAACCTGGCCATTGACGACCGCGGCGGGCCCGGCTACGCGAGCTGGACGAACGCGAAACTGTGTTTTGGTCCACCGAACAGATACTATGTAGTGGCTTTTACGAGGCTTAAGTTAGATGTTATGCTGAACTTCGAAAACTTTCGTCGTTATTCGGATGTCATCTTAATGCACTCTGTTTGAGTGAAATTCAGTGTACTTATTGGATCAAGACATATCACATGGCTACACCCTCTCTTTATGTAGCTCATGTGTTCGCCCATCGCCCTATGTTTAATTTTGAAGTCGTCGACAAATAACTAAACTCCTATCTGATAGCACACGTGTTAACCTCCCTTCTTCTGTCCATCGCCAGTTTTGATATCGTGGACATCAAGGAGACGGATGGGGTGCAGCGTCGCGGTCCGTCGGCCGTCCAGGACCGGCTGCCGGCCATCCAGCTACAGAATCTGGAGGCGAGGCGACAGGCACATCAGAAGAAACTCGACCCGGACGCCGACCAGCGGGAGAAACTGGAGAGGAGGAAGGTGCGTGGATGGGAGGACGGGAGGACACACACGAGAAAAAGTATGGGGGTTGATGGGAAATGTGTGGTTAAACGGCGATGGCATGCGATTTTTCTTGAAGTTATTGTTCTTCGTCTGTTTGACTCTGAACATGAAGTTTCACACGCAGAATGTCTACATAAAGGACATGTGTCCAACGTTTTAGGTGGCCTATAATGCCGTTTGATTTGGAAGGCTTAACACTGAGCAATAGGTAAGGCATAAAAACGACAGACTGATCACTTCGAATGCCAATGATGCAAGCAAGAAACGCGAATGAAGGTAGATAATGGGGTCATAGGCATTAGGCACAGTAGAGATATAATACAACATTAGCCTTACGAGCAAGAAATGTCACAGCCGACAGGACAGGACCTAATGTTGCTAGAAGTTTGATGCTAGTCTAGCTGAAAACTGATACTTGCATCAGCTGGATGTATCATAGTAAACTGAACACTGAACAGTGAACACTGTGCTCACTGCTCAGTGCTTAGTGCTGTCTGGAGTGTCTGGAATGCAGCAAGGCTCGCTCGGCCTCGCCTGACGAGCCGTATGATAGGTAGGCTGTTCCGGCTAGCAGTCGTGTGCGGCGGCACAGTATCAACGCCCGGCCGGTTTGTAAGCGGTGCGGAATTCTATTTCATGGAAAACTAACGTACGGTAGCGTTGGAATGCATGAATGTTCCCAAAGTCCAATGTCTAATATTTCCTTTGCAAACCCAACAAAAATAGGCATTGCCTTGGTAGGTATAACATGACTAAAGGCCAACGGCAATGAATGAACTTTTTCCAAGAGACACTGCGCAGTAGACTTTTCACCTTTAAGGCTTTAAGGGCATAATGCAAGCAGAAAAGCGTGAATGACAAATCGAACGTCTTACACGAATTGCAGAACTGCAAGCGCGTATATCACTGCATCTGCTAAGGCTCCACTATTATAAAACAACATCAGCGTAAAAGCCCCATTTTCACACAGGAGCCCCAGCCACCACTCCTGTAATTAATCTCGTCTATTCACTTCGCTATTAAAACACCACACAAGGTAACCGCAGCCTTCCTACGCAGTTCCGGCGCTGCAGGGGTCCCATGGGTCAAAGGCCATTAGGGGGCGGCGCGGAAGGTCGGGAGGGGGGGGGGGGTAATTCGGGCGCGTCCTTCAGACGGTCGGAGCGAGGTACGGCCGGTACCGGTGCTTTGGTTGCCCGGGCGGTCATTCGGAAGGTGGACAGACGGGGTATTGATCCCTCCCCATCCCCTCCCCTGCCCCCTCACCCGTCCAGTGGGGCACGTGACACCGGCGACCTTGCATGCCAATGCCGCTGACGGTATCACCCCCGTCCGTGGATCGGGCCGGTGGTAAGAACTAGCAGGCACCGAGGCCGGGGTGAGATTATCTTCCTTATCGGGTGACACGACATGGGTGACCTGAGACCGCCACCCACGGATATGTCATTACTGGGTCAATTGGGTCAATATACACTGACCTTGGATATGTTGATACAGGCTCCGTGATTCTGCGTATATAGGTAGCTGCCCATATGACTGATAGTTATATCGACCTCTATAGGATATGCCAACATTCAGACCCCTTCTGGCAATGTAGATTTCCACCACCCTTTTCCATAATTAGAATTATCAACTTTCTCTGAACGTAACCTTATGACTACATATGTAAATAAAAACCTGATTCATTGTAAAAGCTCCGTGCGCGTAATGTTCGAAGGTATGTCGTATTTATTGATATCTCGACGCCTTTCATCCTTGTTGGTGTTTTTAACTCATCTATCGGCCTCTGCGAGTTGGTATTCCGTCTCTAACGTTTGTGTGTTACCCCGACACCTTCAGGCCGCGGAAGAGGAGAGGGTAAGGAGAATCGCGATGAAGCAGCAGCACATCGAGGAGGCGAAACAAAAACGCATCGAGGAGAAGGGAGAGCAGCTAGAGAAGAAAATCGACTCGGCCCTCGATAAACGGTACGTGAGCTATTTGTCAACTTGCGATAGTTTGTTAATCGCCACCGGCCACCGTAAGCCTGAAGTTGACATGATTAGGGAATTTGTACGCCTTCAAAACTGTTCTTTATGATGAATAACCACCACCCAGTCAGTGCTGAAACTATGCACGCGATTCTGCACCCAATTCTCCTGAGGCTTTGTTGAAAAGAAATCATGAACCACACTGTGCTGTAAAACGCTCATTTGTAAGCTGTGACTTTTGCATTGTGGACAGAAACGTGACCAGAAATATCGTTCTGTGGTAGCTCTGCCAACCCTTTAAAGCGTTTATAGTTTGACAGTTCTCTCTTGCTGAGCTCTCTTGCTGCTTCTAGATACCATCTTTGAAACTAAATCAACTATCAAGTTATATCTAACTGAACAAATAGGAATACATTGAGAAGTGGAGTAGCTATAAGCTAACATTTCCAAATCAGTGCTCAGAGCTCGCTCACGTTGAATTCCTAGTCCGTGTTTGTGTTCATTGTACAGGAAAGAAAAGGCTCACATACAAAGACATCCCTGGGCGTATACTTTCGCATGAAATCGCCCTCTAACCCTAGCGTGTCTTCATCTTGTGCACCCACAGACAAAAGCACCTAAACGAGCTGCGAGACAAGCTGAAGAATCGCCAGGACCACGCCAAGCAGGTGCAGCTGAAGAAGGCCCTCCGAAACTTCGGCGGCGTCGTCACCCACCAGCACAGCGCGTCGCGGCCGCAACTGACGGAGGAGGAGGACCACTTCTTCAACTAGGCCACCAGCAGGTCCATCTCACCGACGGCTGGTGATGTGAGACGCGTGATGGAGAGGCAGAGACGTTACAATGGAGAGGTATCGAGATCAGCAGTCTGTGTGGTGTCCAATGCAAAGCACACTGTGCCCGAGTGTGTCCTTAGCTAGCTAGAGGTAACTGCGTTGTGAAAACCAGTTTCGCGTGAATTTCACAACGGTTTGAATCACAAAAATGGTATATTACGAGATATTATGTTACAATATGATGTCGCGTCCGTATAAAGCTCAGCAAAAGTAAAAGTAGTCTCGCCTAATCTTGGGAGTCATCGAAACTCGATCGTACATCTCACATTGGAACGTTATTGTCGCATTCGAAAGTGAATCTCGTTCTATCTTTGAGTAAGTCTATGTCTCGCTGATGCCACTACGCTGGCTCAGTGGCTCATTTGTGGCATTTGTGACTGAATGCGTTGTGCGACTATTGACTTTTGCGGTGCAACTCTCGTGAGTGGTGTTGAGATCCGAGAAGACGTTACACAGATGACGTCATGACATAATGTTCACCGCTTCTGAAGTCTGTGGCAACTGTTGCGAAAATGATAAAATGCACTAGGGTTAATTATTGGTCTAATAACGGCCATCGTTACCAATGTATTGTAATGGCTGATGAATTGTACTTACCGTTTATATTGAAACAGCACCTGACTAGCTGGTAACCCCTTTTGTTACTAGCTCATTATTTTTTACTGATATTACCTATACTACTACTATTGTTTTATACGATTAATTCATACTATTATTTCATTCAAAGTTATGCATCGATCGATTGGTGACTGAACAGTAAACAAGAAATAATCACAAACAAAACACTTCAATCATATTATGCAGACTATTGACAACTGACCAGTGACCAGTGACCTGAGCTCCCAAGACATGTTATCCCGCGCACCGACGGGGGGGGCGGATATCCGCCCCCCCCCCTGAGGTTTTTCGCGGATAGCGGGAAAACCGCGGCGCGTAGCGCCGCCAAATTTGGTACGACTATTTTCTCACCAATTTTACACATGGTGTGCAAGTTTGAACCTCCAAACTTTAAAGGTCAGGTCACCAGGTCACTTTGAATGACTCAACCTCAAGTCACTTTTTTGCAACTTTGTCACCGTGCCAGAGCTACAATAGATGTCGGAGGCCTTTGAAAGTCGCAGGATGTTATAAGGTCATTAGTATCTACAATTTGTTCATCTCGGAATTTTGATATCGGTGACCTAAGGTCAAGTCAATTTCGCGACCTCCCCATTATAAGTCAATGCAATGGGGGGAAAAATCAACTCCCTGTTTTCACCACTAAAACGGGTCGGAATGGCCCCATATACCATACATGACTTCATATATGATCAACCTTCACTACCTTGAGGTCTGTTTTGCTGTTGGGCAGCTGTAAGGTCATGTGACGTCATCAAAGGTCACCAAAGGTTTTTTTGCTAATAACTCCGTACAGGAACAAGATACAGCCGCGCGGATGGTCTCATTGTGTTCAGCTCGTCAAGACGCATCGAATTATATACATGATGACCTCGAGGTCACGTGACCTGAGGTCAACCTTTGACCTTGACCTTTCGAGGTCAACATATATATCATTCGATGCGGATTGACGAGAGGATCACGATGATGCCCTTAGTTTGTTCCTATCTTGACTAATTCGAAAGTAATTTGAGAAAAACTCTCTCCATATCTAGCGCCGCCATTTTGACTTTTTCGACCCCTGTGACGTCATGTTTGACCTGACCTGAAAATGACCTTTGTAAAAATTGTAGACCTTGTCCGTGCGTATCCGATGCCGTTTACCGCTTGTCGTTATCTTGCTTCGTTCTCGAGATCTCAGGGGGGCGGTCATCCGCCCCCCCCCCCCCCCCGTCGGTGCGAAGTTGGCGCAGACCCCGTCGGTGCGCGGGTTATGGTTGGGATGTTTTACTTATATTTCCCAAGGGTATGTTAATATAATAATAATGCCTTACGCGCGTAAACATATGCAATCTATCAATAGCACGATCATTGTTTTGTTGGTCGTCGCCATAGCTGCTTTAGCTAAGGTTGAATCTGGTACTCTTAGGTGTCATGAAACTGACAATGAATCCCTACATATGATCACGGCTGGTGTCCGCTAAAACCACTTAAACATAATCTCATAGTCTTATGGCTGATTGAGGAGCTAAATTCAGCTCTGAGTGCTATTTATTTGCATGGGCATTGTCGCAATTGAGAGCTGAGGCCTCTTGCACCAAAATCCTCTTGCACCAATGCTTGAATTATTTTGCATCGTGTACCCAGTCCAAGACTCAAATGTGACAATTTGCGTGTAAAATTGACCAAGCACCTGTAGGATTATGTATTGGGCTATTGCAACCAAATTTACCACCGTTTGATTAGCTTATTCTGAAACCGGTTTTTAGATTTTACCTAGCTAGGTAGTTTGGTGCAAGAGGTATCGAGTTTTATGTCCGACATAGTTAACTCTATTACTGTTGGGCTTTCTGGACTACGTTAACTGGTGGGGGGCGATTTGCCCCCCCCCTTGATATCTCAAAAACTGAGTGTCCGATCTTAATGGAACAAACGCCATTCGATCGTTCTCATCATGAACTTTCAGATCCGCTATAAAAAGTAAAAAAAAGTTCAAAATTGGGGGTCCTGGAAGCAATTTTTTTTGCAAAAATCGCGTTTTACATCTTATCGCTAATTTTTTTTTTATAAATTTAGTCCGAACCTTTTGATGGGAAGGATTCACAAGGACAGAGCCACCGCTAAGCGAAGCTTGTTGCGATGACCCTGCCCTCTACCCTCCGATCGCGCAATTCCGATTCTATGGCAGAATTTAGAGTCCAAAGTTTAACGTGCGCACAAAGCCGCGCACGGCCGGTCCCCTCGCTGACTTCGCCTGGCCTGGCTACGGCCTGCCACCAACCGCAACCATACTTGTCAGGGTCATAACCGGGAGCGCGTGCTCTCACCACGCGGAGTCCAACGCTCTAACCAACTGAGCTACGGGACCGGCAAAATGCTATAACTTCTTTATTTTTGACCGATTTCGACAAAACTTCAGGGAACCCTTCTTCATGAACTGGTCTATCATATATATTCCGGCATTTTGGATACTTAAAAAATCATAGGCGGATTCAGGTAACCTAACTTGGGATGATGTTTTAAGGTTTTGTCATGGTATGTCATGTGTCTTATGACATGATATGTCATATATCATGTAAAATATGCAACGTGAGCACAAAATACACGTTTTCGTTAAGCATAGGTGGATTCAGGCATGCTAAGACGGGGGGCAGTACATTGAGATTACCCCCTTTCTCACGTACCTGGGTCCGCCTATTCCAATATTTTCATTGTAGAATGACGTCACATAGTCTTTAGGTGCATACATATGACGGGGGTTGCCTCAAGCCCCTAGCTAGAGTGGTTTTCCGTCGAGAGCAAAAAAAAAATACAGGTGGAGGCCGATTCGCCCCCCCCCCCTACCAGTAATAGGGTTAAATGCCGGTCATGGTTTTTCTGTCCGTTATGTTCGAATGTCCTTAGAACACTTCTTCAGACAAATGTTGAACACTCATTGCGAAATACATACTTGATCTTAGATCCATGATCACCGTAACACTAATTTTAGTTTCCGACATTCGCTTATTACCAGCTCCGGAATACGCCTGTGATATGACTACAATTTCCGTCCAATAGATCAACGATAGTCAATAGTCGTACGTGTGTATGTATGTATGTATGTAATACGAGTATATGCATGTGTGTATGATGCATTTATGTAGGTATGTTTGTGTATGGATGGATGGAATTGTGTATGCGCATTTCTGCGTGTTTTTGTTAACTTGGATATAAGCCGTCTATCTCGCATATCTTTTTGCGCGACTGTACATATGTAAATTTGGACGTTTGTGAGTTGCGGTGTACTTGACTTGTATGTACAGTTCATATGAGTGGATGTTCATGAATGAGTTTGAATTAAATAATCGTACGCAGTGAACCGTGTTTTATTGTTATCATGACGTGTGAAACCTTCGGAATTCCGTTTGTGAAATACACTGTGTTTGATTGGGAAATGTTTGTTTGGTCTGTGTCGAATTCTCAGAACGTAATTGAACATAGGTAACCCTCCACAGAATAAAAAAAAAGATTGGCGAGTTGAAAATAACGAAGAAACCGGGGAGTAGAGAATCAGCAACATCGCAATGCTCGCGAATGTTAGATTTGTGTTTCATTATGATACATATTAGGTGCACGTATTGTTGGTATCACGTACAAGAAGGTGACTCGAATGAGTCGAAACATAGCATGTATTCAGCAACGCAGGTAATAAGCAAAACATAGCACATATAGTCCGCAACCCAATTGTTTAGCAAAACATAGCACACGCTTTTTCGGACAGGGGCACACAGACACACAGACAATCAGATAGACGGACACACGCGCACGCAGAAGTGCGCTCGGGTCTCCCGTCTCAGAGGCCACTGCAATAGCATAGCCGGCCTACCTAGCACAGAGGGCGTCTCACTCGGCTACCTCTGGATTCTGATCGTACCGAGGGTGTCTCTGTATTCCCCTGGCTCTGATAGCCGGCTATATGTGGGGTTCACTGAGCGACTGGTGCTTACATAACTAGCAGACAGGCACCTGATTAGGCAAAGCACCTGATACAGCATACCTACATACATGTAATAGGCTGCGAGCACCTTAGGTAAGCACTCGTCGTCAGCGTTCGGAAAGTCAAGCGGATACGGAACAGCTAGCAGAAATGCATTACGGACGGGGAACACACGAGAAGCCACTGACTCTTTTGTGTTAATTTTAACCAGGGATGCGGAGCCGTGGAAATTTCAGACGGCTCCGGCTCCGGCTCCGGCTCCGGAGAAAAAAATCGGCTCCGGCTCCGGCTCCGGCTCCGGGTGAAATGGTATGGCGGCTCCGGCTCCGGCTCCGGCTCCGAGTAAAATGGTCCGGCTCCGGCGGCTCCGGCTCCGGCGGCTCCGGCTCCGACTCAGTACATCCCCTACGCAATCAATTAAATACGGGTGGAAGAAAAATTGGATTGGTTATACGCGTTACTCTTTGCCATGACCGGCTCACCGCGTCCCCGCGCAAACGCACCTCGGAGAGAACTGGCAGAACAAAGGGCTAGGAAGCGATGGCATTGGAAACGCAGTCGCCGCGAATCGGATCGGAGTTCAGTGAACCATCGTAAGCTGACACCCGTCTCGGCTGCATTGGGGGGTGAGGGGTGGGGGGGGGGGGATGAGACGGTGCTGGGAGTCGCAGTCCACTGCACTGGTTTGAAAACAATGGCCGTCACCTGATGACTGGTCCTCATGTTCTGGGGATGCAGTAGACGTGGGGGGGGGGGGGAAGAGCAAACAGGAAGTTGTTTGCGTACTGTGGGATACTGGGGATATTCGGATTTTTTCATTCACTTGATGGCCCATGACGTAAGTACCATATCGTTTTACTGCCTTGTACTGTCAAACCGAACTAGGTCAATTATTTTTTTCCTCTTCAAAAAATAAAAAGGAGCCGGAGTCGCCCCCTTTTTTGGCGGCTCCGGCTCCGGCTCCGGCTCCGGGCTATATTGTTTCACGGCTCCGGCTCCGGCTCCGGCTCCGGGCAAAATATGCCGGCTCCGGCGGCTCCGGCTCCGACTCCGGCTCCGGCTCCGCATCCCTGATTTTAACATGAGTAGTCATTGCATGGCAGACCCGGCTGAAAGCGACCAACTGTAGATATAACACTGGTAGTGCAGGAAGCTGTATATAAAACAAGCTGAAGCCAGTGTGAAAACAGCATGCTGGTTCAAAACATGACTTGGATTAAACCGAAGAAGCCTCCTAATACCTTATACGTTCTGAAATAAATCCAATACAGCTTGAAATGACAGTTTCAGGCGTAGCC